ACCTCTTCAATACCAGAGATATTGTTTACCCCTAACTTCTTTAAAGAGAACTGAAGTTTTTTATCATCTGCTGTAGCTGTTCTATGAACCACCTTCTTCTTTCTGCGAGCAGTTCCCTAATATAGGGAGGAAAGGAGAAAACAGCACATTTATAATATAACAATAAACATTTTCAAGTGGGAGCAGTTTCTAATTCTTTTCTGGCTTTAGATTCTGCATGAGAAAATAACCTTAACCACAAATTATGCAGTTAAGTAGGCAAACTAAGGTAAAGACGGAAGCAAAAAGAGAAAAAGTAAAGAATTGTTTATAAATCTTTAGTAACTTCTAAGCTTTTAAGTTTTGTCAGATTTTTTTTTTAAAAAATCCTTTGAGGGCTGGGGATGTGGCTCAAGGGGTAGCGCGCTCGCCTGGTATGCGTGTGGCCCGGGTTCGATCCTCAGCACCACATACAAATAAAGATGTAAAAATAAATAAATTCTCTCTCTCTCTTTAATAAATAAATAAATAAAATAACAGTAAAAAAAAAATCCTTTGAAAGTCCTTAACATTTAAGTCCTTTTATACTATCTGTTATAAAAGTAATTATTTTAAAAAGCTCCACATCCAAAATTACTCACTTTTACTTTTACGTTAAAGAAAAATCAACATTTAAAACAATACTCCCAGGCAAGATAGTGTGTGGAATAATCATATAGATCTATACATGTACTTCTACAGAATCCTAGAGTAAAAATCTGAAGTTCTTATTTTAACTTACAAGGCCCCCATACATGATCTGGACTGCCCTTAATACTCTGTGCTTGACCATATTCTCCATAGCCAAATAAACCTCTTTGCTGTTCCTTAAACAGGCCAAACAGGCTATGAACCCAGGGCAGTGATACATGCTCTCTTCTCCTAGCATATGCATGGTTCCCTTCCTCACTGCAGAACTCTGCTCTTATGTTACCTTATCAAAGAGGCTTTTATCAATTAAAAATATAAAATAGCAACTCCTATACTCATCTTTCTATCCTGGTTTACTTTTCCTTATAAAACTTATTTCTGTAAAATATAATCTGAGTTTCTGGAGGCATCTATTCTGTTCACTGTTTACCCAATCTAGCTCATTGAAGACACTCAAGGACACCAACCACCTCACCAACCCCAAAACTCTAAATCTATTTCTGATTCATCTTTTAAAACACTATCAAGCCGTTACCTTTTCTGTGCCTTCCCTAAAACTCCTGTGCCAAGTCACTCCCATCTCTGTATTTTAAAAATGCTTCTATTATACTAGGCATTTATCACAGATTAATTACATATTTTTAAAAAAATGACTCCACTACTAGGCTAGAAATCCCCCTAAAGACTTTTCCCTTCTTAAATTTTACCTTTTCAGGATTAAAAATAGCAAAGGCTTAAATAAATCACCATTTAAAGAACACACACACAAACTGATTATCAAATCCTCCCCCAAACAGAATAATAATCACACTGAAGTGGTTGTGTAGATAGATACCTCATTTCCAAAGATACCCGTAAGATTACAAAAACAAAACCAGCAAACCACCTATAGGTTCTATACATTTCACATGTGCAGAGTTCAATTTTTACTAAGTTATTTTGTTCTGATTAAATAATGCAATCGAAAGCTTTTATAATATCAATCCTTAAAACCTTAAAAGTAGCTGACATCACTTACTCTAAGGCAAAACTCACTCAATTTCACATCCCATAAGTAGGTTTTTTAAAAGGTATAGAAAATGTTTACATAGTACAATGACAACAGAAATACTTTTATATAAGCTAACAAGTATTAAGATGTTAAGCTAGAAAGTCAGCTTTAAAAATCTTGGAAAACCTTAAGAGTTTCTTTTGCCCTGGTATGATGCCTTTCAACAGTAAAACCTAATGATCAGAGTAACAAGCTTGCACACAAGAACATTATTCCTCAAACTGTGGAATAATGGCTAAAAATATACTGATATAGAACATCCCAATGATAGTTCGCAAAGAATATGATGAGTTTTTCTGGCTTCCAAAGGCTACAGCCTGGTAATTGTTGAAAAGGACAAGAAACACCTAAAACACTTAATGTGTTAATGTGAAAAGTGTGGATCTTGAAGATTAAAAGTGTCAGCAGAAGAAAGGATGCAGGGGCAATCAGGATATTCACTGCTGGCAAAGTCCAGTAATTTATCAGAGCTGCATCATAACTATTTAACCTAAGTTAAACTTTTGCCTACTTCACAATAGACTCTTCTTGAAGGCAAATGCTTAAAGTCTGGAAAATTTAATAGATAATAAACTTGTACTATGGAAGCCTCACAAGTTTTACCAAGTAAAGACATGCTCTGTTTCAACAAGCTGCCACACCTTGTTAAATACTAGGAATGTGCTAACAATACAAAATACAAGTAGGCAGACTTCTGTCTAAAGCAAACTTCTGACTTAAGTAAATTACATAGAGAATGATCTGAAAAACAAGTCCCAAAAAGAACCGCCATGAACAATCAGTATCCACAAGGGGGAGGGGGGAGACTCAATTAACCCCAAAATGATCATTTAAAATTCAATTATTTCCATTCTCTCAGTTTTAGCATAACTGCAAAGTCAGAATAGAAAAGACATCTGCTTAGGTAATACTTTCAAAACAATCACTGTTCTTAAACTCCAAAATGTATAGAAAGATATTTTCAAATATCCTTGAAAATACAGAACTAACCAGAAGGGCACTTTGCTCAGAATGCTTTACAGAAAGGTCTTAATTTATATGACACAAACTTCTAACTTAAGTATTAATAGGAAAAACTATTGAAAAACAAAAAGGGCTGAGAGTGTAGCTCAGTGGTAGAGTACTTGCCTAGCATGTGCTGGTTCTAGATCCCTAGTACAGAAAAGGAACAAAAAAATCCCACTGACTTTGTACAAATTAAACCAAAACAAGTCAAGTTATGGAGAACAAGGATCTAACTGAAATGACACATTTTTTCCTACTAAAAAAATTGGGAAACATTTTGGTTCTACTTATTCACTGTAACACTGAAAGCAAACATTTACATAAAAGCAATGTTTTTTAGTTCAAATGTTTATTTATTCTCGATTCATCTGCTTTTATCCCTTTTAACATACAACCTGCAAGTCTCATTCATATTTATCTAACCTGCACTTCCCGCCCTCACCCCGAATTTACTACTTTTGTTAATTTCTCAAGATGGGCAAAGTGGCAAATCAACAATATCCTAAGTGCAAATAGAATGTCAAAAATAAAACTACTAAAACTTACTTTTCCACCAATTCGCACTTGTGCCTGCAGTTTGGCGAGTTTTTCCTGGTTCATGATAGTTTCTTTCATCTAGAAAAAGGGACATTCTCAGCATGGAAAAGTCAAACTCAATCTCGCATTCCACGCTCGCTATTTCCCAAAACACCAGTAGAACAAATGTCCTACACAGGCCAAGGCCTGAATCCCAAATCCACCCCGCAAAGCTCCAAATTTCGGCTCGGAGAGAGCTCAAGGAGCACCCATCTCCCCTTCTCACCCCCACAACCCCCCCCCCGCCACTTACAGCCCTAAACAAGGGCTCTACCCCCATGCCTGTCCACTCCCCCCACCCCGGCCCTGGCTCGGCCTCGGCCTAGCCAGGGCCTGCCCGGCCCGGCGCATCTCCGCAAGCCTCGCGGTACCTGAGGCTCCTGTCCTCGGGTTCCGCCGCGAGGTGGAGGAAGAGACGGCGTCGCCTCGCCCCCAGGGCAGCCGCCCCTGGCTCGACCTCGCCCCCGAGAGTCAGCCTGAGCGGGTGCGCCTGTCCGTCGCATCGCCTTCCTGTCCTCAGCCCTGTCCCTCCCTGTCTCGCTCCTTCCGGGAACTTCCCGCCCCGATCCCGTCCTCCTCCCACGCTGGCGTCCAGAGCCTTTTTGTACCTTGTCGGAGCGGAAATGGGGCCGCGCGGGGGACTAGGGTTGGCGCTCAGGGGGTCTCAGGCAGACCAGCTGAGATTAGGCGCACACACGCGGGGACGCAAGATGGCAGCTAGAGGGAGGTCGGAAGTGATGCAACGCCACTTCCTCCAAAAGTCAGGAAATAGGCTTTGTCTCACTGCGCACGCGCAGCGGCGCGCCGCGACGTTTGTGATGGCTTTGCCAGCAGCCGGCCTCCAGTCTCCTCTTGTTTTCCAGCGGCGGTAGTCTGCATGGGGGCGCCGCCCATAGTCCCGGGAAAGGGCAGCGAAGTCCGAAAACTTGATTCTTTACAGTTAAGGTTGAGTAAATGCATCTTAACTCCTTCGGGCCCGATCCCGAAGTTCGTTAAGGTCAGAAGAAAGGGTTTAGGGTGCCCAACCTGTGCTCGTGTGTTTGGCAGGTGTCCACACACTGAAATGTGTAGATCGGAGAACTGTCAAAAACTGCGAAGCTAATTTTGCTTTCCAAGATTAGATGGTTTTGTAGATTTCGGTTCAGCATTTCTGAGGAGTGTGTTCAGAATTCATCCCTGAGCTCCACCCCTCTAAAAGCAATTCTGTAGGACCAGAGGTGGGGCTGGATAATCTTCTTTTCAGCGACTCTAGAGGACAATGAACCTTTTAAAACCCAGCTATGTGTTTACCTTCTATTTCTTTCATAGGCAAAAAGCTACTTTTGATAGCGAATTGGCATGGATTTGTCAATAGCGATTCACAATGGAACAGATTTTACCTTTCTTAACTAATTCAGTCAAAGACAAAATTGTGCCTGCTGTGTTTGGAGAGACTAAATTCGTGGATGTGGGTTAAAATATGTTAAATGCCAGGACAAGCTTTAAGGAAATCTTAAAACCAATTTTTAAAATGGCAACTAAAACAAAAGATGCTATCTAGTCAAATTTTGTGGTCATATCTATGAAATGTTTTTGCATTTCAAAAGTAAGTCAAAAAATCTTAGCCAGAGAAAATAAAATTTATATAGCAAGAAAATTTGTGTAAGTGCATACTCCTTCCAATTAAGATAATTTTTTTCTTTGAATATTTTTTAGGTGCAAATTTACTAAAACTGTGGTATCTTATTAAGAAAATCACTGAGATATTGCTTTTTAGATTAATCGTAACAGTTATTTTATATTAAAAAAATGTTGCTTCTATTATAAAATGAGTAAGTTTTAGTACATAAAAGAGTGTTAGTATTGTTAGATCATGTGAATTCCCATCCTGATGGTGAAGATCAAATAAAAATGCTGCCCAAATTATCCAGTACAATAAAGATATAAAATATATGGAAATACTTCCCTTTTTGAAAGGAATGTATGTCTTTGTCCAGGAACATTTTCACCCCTTTCCTCCACGTGATACAAAGAGCATTTGAAACTTCCTAGTTGTGATGTTTTCTTGTTTTACATAAACAAGATTTTGTACATATGTAATCAATACCTGTTTTCGAGAATTGTTATACATCTGTTTTCAGGAAATGTGAGTTATTTTTTACTCTTTTGTAATTTTAAATATCAAAGATGATTATAGAAGAGAAGAATTTTATTTTAACCCCAGCTGTTTCCCACTTATTTTGTGAGCAGCCAGGCACTTATTTCTAGTTCTGGTCATATTTACATATCAATCTCTTCAAAAACAACTGAAGGGATTTTTTCTCCTCTCCACCATCCAAGTAGTTACTTCCTTGTAATCTTGTTTGGAAATACCATTTTCTGTGTGCTCCCAATGTCTACATTTGGGAGCACACATTTCTGTGTGCTCCCAAATGTCAATAATTGGCTTTCACACTTCACTGATGAGCTGGAACAGCCTAAGAATTATTTACTCTTCATTCAAGATAGCCTATAGAGAAGGCGAGAAAGGAGAAACCTGTTTGTCCTCTGTGGTGTATAGTTTATGATCTAATCAAAACCCATGAATTGTTTTCATCTCTGAGTTGTACTTTAGCAGGAGCCAAAATATTCACTTTATATTACGCATATTTCTTTTTAATTTTTTCATAGCTTTATTGAGGTAAAATTGAAGTATAATAAAATGCACATATTTGAAGTATGCAGTTTGATCTGTTTTGACACGTGTGTAACCAATATAGTCAACGTAAAAAGCATTTCCATTACTTATTTTCAAATTTGAAATCATGCAGACTGTGTTTCCTACATGATGTATTACATTAGAAACCAATCACTTTAAGATATATAGAACCCCCACTCTCACATGTCAACTACTTCAAAATTAAATGACACACTTATAAATATCTCACAGGTCAAAGAAGAAAGCACAAGTAAAGTAAATAAGAAGTGCTTTGAACTAAATGATAATAATATCTTAAAATACCAGAATCTCTGGGATGAAACAGTACTCAGATGAACATTTATAACTTAAAGTACTTATATCAGAAAGAAGCTAGGTTAACAAATTATTTTCAAATTAGGGAGTAGGAAGGAAAAAATAAGAGTAAACAGAAATATATAATAAAGCTAAAGTTTGAAACAAAACAAGTTAAGAAAAAAGTAAGAACAAAAAATTAATATTAGTGGAAAGGAGCTATCAAAATTACCCTATAGATGCTAAAACAATATTACAATTGTATACCAACATGTGATAATTTACATAACATGGTCTATCTTAGAGAAAGATCTGTGTACTGCTGAGAAGAAAGTGTGTTCAGTCATTGATGGATGAAATATTCTATATATCTATGTAAAAATCTGAATTATCAATTATATATTTTTACTTCTATAGTTTTTGTTTGGAGGATCTATCCAGTGGTGTCAGAAGCATGTTAAAGTTACCTGCTATTATTATGTTGTGGTCTATTTGATTCTTGAAACTGAGAAGGATTGGTTTAATATATGTAGATGCTCCATTGTTTGGGGCATAAATATTTACAATTGGTATGTCTTGTTGTTGTATACTTCCCTTAAGCAGTATGAAATGTCCTTCTGTCCCTTCTGATTAACTTTGGTTTGAAGTCCACTTTACCTGATGTGAGGATAGAAAACCCTGTTTGTTTACAAGATCCATGTGAATGATATGTTTGTTTCCCATCCTTTTACCTTCAGTCTGTGGATGTCTTTGCCTATGAGATGATTCTCTTAAAGACAGCATATTGTTGGCTTTTGTCTTTTAATCCAACCTGTCAGTCTGTGTCTTTTGGTTGATGGGTTTAGGCCATTTATATTAAATGTTATTGAGAAATTATTTTTATTTTCTTTTATTTTGATTTATTTGTGGTTTTTACTTTGAATTAGTTTATCCTTTGATTGAGTATCCTTCTAGTATAGTATCCTTCTCCCTTTGCTGGTTTTCACTTTCATTTTTTCTTCATGAAATATTTTATTGAGAATGTTTTGTAGTACAGGCTTTCTAGTTATGAATTCTTTTATGTTTTGTTTATCATGGAAAGTTTTTATTTTATCATCAATTCTGAAGCTTAATTTTGCTGGGTTTAGTATTCTCAGCTAGCATCCATTTTCTTTCAGAGCTTGGTATATAAAAAATATGGAACTCTTTATGAATTTGTTTGTCATCCTTGTGCAGGGGCCATGCTAATCTTCTCTGTATTGTTCCAATCTTAGTATGTGTGCTGCCGAAACAAGCACTATTTATTATGTTTATTTCTTAAAGGCCTTTGGGTCCCATTCTGATCTGCAAGAGGTTTTGAGAAATCACTTAGGATGAATGCTCCTATGGTTTTAGTTGCTTCATGACCTAGCCCTTGCCAGATAGCCACAATAGACAATAATGACTTCTTCTTCATTTAGTCTTTTTCTTGTTGTTTTCTTCATAGTCCTTCTTTTCTTCAAAGTCATCTCCATCATCTTCATCATTGTTCTTCTTCATCTCTTCCTTCATCTCCTCCTTTGTTTTCTTTCTTTGTAAACTTCCGTGTACTCTTTTTCTAGTATCTCTGTGTTTGTCAAGTTAATGCCTATATTTTTTCTCTCTCCCAAGACTCAGGCAATACTGCTGAAACACTCTCAACCTCATTATTTTATTAAATTCAAAGTGAGAGATTGATAATTTTGTTGAGTTAGTGGAAAACTGAATCAGGAATCTTTATTTCCCACTAGGTTATATTGAGTTCTTGCTCTTTGATCCTCATAGAAATCTTATGAGAGGATACTCCTCATTTTACTGGTGAAGGAGCTAAGGCTTAGGGGGTTAAAGGTTTGAAAATGGATACAACCAACCTTGTCTTCCCTGCACTAAATCTATCCATTTATATGTATTTAATGTATAAATGTCACCTTCACTCCTGCTATGCCTGGAAGAAAATTGCCTCTACCCATACTCAATCCCTGTTTCAGGATTTTGATTCTATTATTGTCTCCTACCTGTCTTTGTTTTGTACATTCACCTACATCATTCTACTAGTACAATAAAATGCTTTAACACCAGACATCTTTAAAGAGACAAAGCAAAAATTTTCTTTTGAATTGTGTTACCCTGTAGCCACTACTTAACATTTGGGCTCCCTTTTATAGCAGAATTTCTCCAAAACAATTGTCTGAACCTCTAGCTTAGCAAATCAAAAAAGATAAATTCCGAGTTTTCGCTTTTTAAACCTTGAGCAGCATTTGGCACCCTTGGCCACTTCTATGCTTTTGAAACATTTTCTTCTTCAGGCTTCCAAAATATCTCATTTTCATGTTTTTTCAACTTTTCTGGTGTCTCCTCAGTCTACTTTGGTTTATTTTGAGTTGATTTTGAATTGCTCACTTTTTAGTCCTTGTTCTCTTTTATTTTTCTCCCCAAATAGTAATATATCCTACCCCATAGTTTTAAATATTATTATATTGAAGAATCCTAAATTTATAATTCTAATACTAACTCCTTTTGAATTCTGGACTAAATATTCTTTGTACATTATTATGGAAAACTTAAGATAAATAAAAAATAAAAATAATAATAAACACCTGTAGACCCATCACTCACCATTAATAAT